CTACCTTCAAACCGAAGCATTGAGAACTTTGTCAGTGTCCAGACAGTTTAATAAGAAGATATTTTAAACACACAGTCAACTTCGCGTATACAGGCAGGAGCCATCTTTGAAATACAGCCTTTACCAGTCGATCTACGAACGCCGATCCAAGTGCGCTGGTGAGATGTGAACGAGCTATAAGTTGTGATAAGGTGAGCGCGAACAGCAGGCTTGGACCGGCGTTCGTAGATCGACTGGTAAAGGCTGTATTTCAAAGATGGCTTCTGCCTGTATACGCGAAGTTGACTGTATGTTTAAAATATCTTCTTATTAAACTGTCTGGACACTGACAAACTTCTCAATGCTTCGGTTTGAAGGTAGGGACCCTCATTATGCTACCGTGTTAGTGTGGGTCTATTTAATCATAAGCAGAGGCAACTTTAACTAGAAAGAATTCACTCTGAAAGGTTCGAAATGAGAAAATATTATTGGGAAAAATCACTGACAAGATGATTGATTCCCTGTAAGTCTACCTGACACAGGAATAAGAGTCTTATAATGGCGGGCTGCTTCTTTTGTGTGTGAATGCAAATGCTCCTCCAGAGTGTCTGCGAGTCGTCACACGTCCTGTGAGGCTGAACGGGTCCAGAACAGGCACTCTGTCTCTGTCACAGAACCGCGCACCTCGCTCAGCTTTCTGCATCAAACATCAGAGAATTAGACTATCATATATACTACACCCAAAGCTTAGAACTAGTCGAGTTGCTGGATCGAGAAGTTTGGAGCAGTTTTTTGAGAGTAGACATCTGTGGGTTTATGATGGGAAATTGCTCAGTTGTTTTAAGAAATTTGAGACGGGACCGTAGGCCTAATACTGAAAATTCTTGACAAATTATCAAAGAAATCATAGTAAAATGGTGAACAGTTTAAAACAAGGTCTCATTTGTTAACTTTAGTTAATGCATTCGTTTATATGAACTAGTTACTTTACATTACATTTAACAGCATTTATTAACCTTGTTAACAAATGGAACCTTATTTTAAAGATTTATATATTTATGTGCAGTTTTTCAGTTTGACGCTAGAGGGTGCTTTGACTTTTTGAATTTTCCAACAATGCAGAATTCGTTGCAGGAATTCAATATTTGCTGGATTTAGTACAATCTCATAACATTATACTGTAGGCAGTAAATTCTCAAATCTTTATTGGACATTAAAGATTTAGAACAGAACTGTGACCCTTTTTTCAACCCAACCGTTGAGACCATTACAGTGTGACGCCCGTTTCACACATACTCCGTTTGCAGTGCGTATGCGGTGCGTATTTTTTTCCGTACCCATGTTAACAGGTTAGAGCTTTCACACTGCACGCGGATGCGGTCCGTCGATCCGTTCCAGTTGCGGTGCGTATACAGCAGTGCAGAGATCGTTTACGCACCGAGTCTATTTTTGCTGTGCTGCAAACGCTGAATTAAAGTGACAGCGCACGGTTCGTGGTCAAAATGAACAAAGACTGACCTGAATATGTAGTAATTTCACCATAAATGCATTTAATTCAATAAAATGTAGTAATCTCACCATAAATGTATGTAATTAAATAAAATGTAAACATAAATGCATTTAATTAAATACTACTTTGTTCACAGTCATCTTTTTACTTTAAGACCGGGGTAAAGCAAAGAAAACAAAAATTTACTTCAAGGCCACATAATGAACGACACTCGTCTCATTCGTTGAGGTGGAAAAACAAGTTAATTGTGACATGCAAGATTTATTGTATACAGATTTAAATTATGCAAAAGAAAAGGTATGAGTCTGCTGTTTTTGTCAATTTTAGGTTTTAATTTAAAATGTTTGCAATTTTAATATAAGTACATGGTTAAATATGTTACCACTTGCTTGAGCAACTTAATATATAATCTAGGCCTATATAAAAGTAATGCATTGAATAATACGTTGTTTAAATTGTGTTTTAAACCTGAATAGGCCTACAAAGAGAATTGCACTGGAGGCAAAAACTTTTGCTGCTGATAATAACTTGATTTGATTGAGGATTTTTTTAAATACAAATAGTGAGTAAATGTGTTTGTGGTACAGCCGCGGATCAGTTGCGCACTGCAAACGCACGCAGCATATGTGAAAGCACTATAGCGCGTGCTGCTCCTGTACCGCATACGCACCGCAACACGCACCGCATACGCACTGCACACGGAGTATGTGTGAAACGGGCGTGAGAAATGCAGATAAGAAAACGCTTTTCTCTCACTTCGTCTCGCCAAGTACACGTGAATTTGCATGAATGCAAAATACATACATTTATATGTTATGGTTTTTATGGTCTTTTTGTTGCCAGCGCAGTGTATCATCTATGCATTCTGTTTTTTTAAATAAGTTTTAATGCTTGGGTTGTGAAAAATCCAGTGTAGAAATCATTCTCTTATAAAAACCTCAGTATACAATAAAAAAAATTAAAAAAAAATTGGTGTGAACAATTTTCTTTAAGAATTTGCTAGTAAATTTTACAATTTCAAAGAAACAGCAAGTAGCACATTGAATTACACATTCTGTTTTGAAGTGGAAAGTACATTTCTTGTGAAATATACTCCAATAGGCCTAATATTTGTTTTATTTATAATTTTGTCATTGAAAGATAAAAAAAACTAATAATTACACAAATAAATAAACAAACAAAAAAACAAACATATATATATATATATATATATATATATATATATATATATATATATATATATATATATATATATATATATATATATAAGCAAACAAACAAAAGTGTGAGGGGAGTGTTTAAACCACACAGATAAAGAAGAAAAAAAAGCATTTGTGACAACCTGCCCCAGTTATGAATATAAGGTATTGTAATAGTAACAGAAAGAGGAATTCACTTTCTTTGGTGTTATTATTGTCAGACACACTGGACAGTATATATTGGAATTTCCACAGCTAATATACACACATTCTCCCATAGAGTGTCACAGGTGGCTGGAGACAGAAACACGCTTCAGTGCATTTAGATTTATAAACCGAGTGTGTGTGACACTGATGAATACAAGTCTCCTCACCTCTTTTCCTCCAAACTACACACCATAGACTACAATACCACAGGCTACCACAGCCTGCAGGTGTCAGTAAAACCATGTGTTTGCCGTGTGTAAAAGCACAAAACCATTATGGTTGATTAGTGCTCTTGAAATTGTAATGATGATTTTTAAGTCGACTAAGTTATTTTGGTGGGGGAAAAGCAGATCATATTCTTAGACAAAACAAGCTTCGTTAATTAATTTGTTTATTGCTTTTTATGGATTAGAAAAAAAAAAGACTTAACATTGGTTATTTCAGTAGCATGAAAAACAAAACAGTTATTCAAACTTAAGCACGTTGATAAGCATAAACTGCATGATTAAAAAGAGCTGCCAAATAGTTAGACATTTTAACTCGCATGTTATAAATGCTTAATATGTATTTATTCACACTTATTTAACTTAAACCCAGATTCCTGATTTATTTCATGATGCAGCAAAAATGTACAATCGTGAGACTGAAAGGTGTTGTATTTGTGGTTCTCTTATATCTCATGTCTCATGTCACTTTTCATGCTATGTTGCTTAACATAAGTTGAACCAGAACCTGTGATACCCTGCAAAAAGGTGATGATGCCTATCTACAGCAATGTGTAAAAACTGGTTTCTTGTTTATCAAGATAAAATTATTACAACTTTATTTAAAAAAACAAAACAAGAGCACAACCATAACATGATGGGATATTAATAATAATAATAATAATAATTCCAGTATTAGTTACCGTTAGTGACAAAAATAGTTAAACGTATAAGATTTAAAATATTAAGACTGAACATCAATGTACAATACAGAAAAATCTGTCAACTCTGTTATAGACAAATTGGGTTGATGATAGCAGAGTTGATATTTTCCAACATTTTGTGCTAACCTCAAACCAGATACCACATGGCATGTCTAAAAACAGAATTTTATGAGTTTTCGCCATATTATCGTTTTTTAAAAAGTGAATGAGAGATTCACTACAATATCACAATAATAGATTTGACAAATACGTAATCTACTATTGGTGTATCCTAAACATGTTGTACATATTAATGAGAGAAGAATAATGACATACTTCACTGCTTTCCAGAATTTCCACCAGAGGAAGTGACATCCCTTGGTGCAATTCTCATGCTTTTTTTACAAATGCTTTGGAGGGTTTATTTTGTTTTATAACAGAGTTGACCAGAACGTAGGGACAGAAACAAAATCAATTTTTTTATTCATTAAATTGCATAGAATATATATTTTCTGTATTATTTGTAATTGTTTATATAACGTAATAGAGTAAACACAAAAAATATTTTAAAATTAGACTTAATTGTTTCATGATAATTCAAGTTGAATGTATGAATCAGGAGGCAGAGACAGTCAATAATAGGTGGAGTGGGTGTCATTTAGTTAATATTTCCAATAATGTTTTTTCCCCAAATATAGCCTACATAAAGCATTATTTTTCGAGATAGTTTAATATAATTTGTGTTATTATTTTTTAAACAAAAGAGGGTTTATCTGGGAGATTCGAAATGTAATGTAATTCTAGAATGACTCATACACTGTATACACACACACACACACACACACACACACACACACACACACACACACACACACACACACACACGGACTCCGTTCAATAATAAATTAAACTTAAAGATCACTTCCTGTCAAATGTCCAAATGTGTCAATCTCCCACCTTATTTAACAAATCCCAATCTTTAATCTGAAAGGAAATCCAAACCTTGTGATTCTTCTTGCTTCTCTTCTGCTTAGCAGGTCCATCTTACTCAACAGTCACACAGGGAACTGCGTTTACAACTGCTATGTAAAGCTATCGAAAGGGGTGAAAAACACCTGTAGTGTATAAAACACCTGAAGTAAAGAGAACGAGTTGACTGTATCTCTAACTGTTTCCTCGACATGTGTGTGTGCTACAGATGGTGATATTCATAGCCAGCAGTTTCTCTGCATCAATGTTCCAAGACCTTTCCGAAAATGTAAATGGTAAGATTTTACATGAAAACCACAACTAATGGCCCTGCCTTAAAAGTAACAAGAGTTGGGCTCACACTACTTTTTATTGAAAAGTTTTGTGTCCATAATCCATTTAAAAAATAAAACTAATCTGATCGGAATCGGTCCTCTAGTCTATGCACTGACTTCCAGCGGCTTGACTGACGAGAACATTCCCACTGATCGTGACTCCACCAGGAACGTCCACCTCTCTGATAAATTCTCCTCGGCTCTGTTGAAGTTCATTCATACGGTAAGTGTTTCCTGTCAATGAACTTTAAACTCAATATGGCTTTTATAGGTACATATCCTGTACATTCATGCCAAATGTGTGTGTTTGTCTTTATATTCACAGGCTGACATTAAGAAAGAAACTTTCCATGGGCTGGTACAACTATCTTAAACACTTAAACCCCTCCAGTTTGGGAACATGGTAATAAAAGATTTACAGATTATTTAATTGTTTTTATTATTTTAATATAACAGGATATGGACACATATTTCTACTTCTATTCAGATGATACATTAATGTTGTTCTCTTTCTAAATTGGTTTCTGTTCATTTTCTTCTTCTTCAGGAAATCAGTCAGTGTCTCCTCAGTGAGTTCCTGCAAAACTGAACTCCTACGAGCTGTTCGAGTCTTGCTCAAGAAAACATCCTTCTGAGGACGCATGCAAATGCTGAGATCAATCTGAGGACCTTTTGCTCTAGTTTCTTGTTTCAGACTTCTGGCTTTATGATTAGAATTAAACTGATTGCAAGTTTTGCAACATAACATACACAAACATTCGAAAGTTTCTGGTTTGGGGTTTGTGTTTCTGGAATTCGTATGTTCACCAAGGCTGAATTTGTTGGATCACATTTGAAACATAAAACAGTTATATTGTGAAATAGTATTACAATTTGAATATGTATCAAAAATGAAAAAATTTAATTTAGCATGTGTGTGTGTGTGAACTAAAAACAACAAAAAATAAATAAAACTGTATAATGGAGTTAAAAGTCCAATGATTGTATGTGTTATTTATTATGCATAGATTTGACAGCTTCTTTTGATTCATCCCCTATTCATTATCCAGATCCATTATTAAGTCCTTTAATAATAATAGTGATTATTGTTATGAGTTTACGGTAACACTTTATTTTGATGGTCCCTTTTGAACATTCGGTTGACAATAACTTTGCAACTACATGTCAACTAACTCTCATTAGAGTATTAGTAAACTCTCTGCTTAATATCTGCTAACTCTTTATGATGCTCCTCCATCAGACACTCTACATGTCAACTTATTATAATCCTAACCCTACCAGTCTACTAGTACTTAACTAATACTCTAATGAGAGTTAGTAGACATGTAGGACCAACTATACTTATAGTCAACAGAATGTTTTAAAGGGACCATCAAAATAAAGTGAAACCGAGTTTACAATTATACATTTTTTTGACACTGGCAAAGGTGGACGGATAGCTGGACGGAAATGGCAAAATGCCACCAAAGGCAAAAGCAGAAGCGAAATTGGACGAAGAATATGTGTCGCTCACTCATGTAAACGAACTGATGCAGCAACAAAAGGAAATGTTTGTAGCGCTGCTTGAACAACAACATAACAATTTCAAAGACTTTGTAAAAATCATTATGGATTCCACAAACAACAGACTGGATGCAATAACCAAGGATCTACAGGACATAAAAACAAGTTTGCAATTTACACAAAAAGATGTGGATGACATCAAAAATGATGGGGCTAAGCAAACTGAACACTGCAACGCCATGCAGTCAGACATCTTTAAAGTTTGTGACAGTTTACTTGCAGTCACTGACAAAATGGAGTACTTGGAGGGACAATCCAGGCGTAACAACCTCGTTTTCGAGGGGATTCAGGAAGCACCTGGAGAGACTTGGGCCGAGACGGAGGAAAAGGTGAAGAAAGTACTGGCGGAGAAGTTACAGCTGCAGCGTGAGGTTGAAGTGGAGAGGGCCCACCGTACAGGGAAACCGGGAGGAGAAAGATCAAGGCCAATTTTGGTGAAATTTCTGAGGCACAAGGACAGAGATGCCATTCTACAACGCACAAAGTCACTGAAAGGATCCAAAATCTTTATTAACGAGGACTTTCCGGATACCGTCAGAAGAAAAAGGAAGGAACTGATGCCGGAACTCAGAGCTGCGAGAGAAAGGGGGGATATTGCCTACCTAAGACACGACAAACTGGTCATACATCCCCGGTCCAGTACACCAAAATAGACGAGAAATATTTAATCTCCAACCAGGTATGGTGATTCGCTGACTGTATTATGGCATCTTTCACAACTCACACACGCACCGGAGTTAATCAACTACTACAGAGGATTGTGGATTATGATAATCAAGAGTTGAACATCTTTCAATACACTGATCATCACTCACAGGACGTGGAAAATGATATTGATCCTGTAAACAACCTTTTCCACAGCACCAATAACAACTGTTTTTATTACACTAATGATCAGTTTAATAGTTCAGTTAATACTGAAAATCAACTATCAATAATCCACTTTAACAGCAGAAGCCTATATGCTAACTTTCACAACATTAAATATTATCTTAACCAGTTCAAACAGTCTTTCAATATAATTGCTATCTCGGAAACGTGGATAAACAGTGAAAAGGGCTCAGACTTTGAAATTGAAGGTTATGTAATGTCTTGTATTAACAGAGTAAATAAGAATGGGGATGGTGTGGCTTTGTATGTAGACAAGAAACTTAATCACAAGGTGGTGAAAAAAATGTCTACAGTGGTGGATGACTTACTTGAATGTGTTACAATAGAAGTATGTAGGGAAAAAAAGACAAATGTTATTGTAAGTTGCATTTATAGATCACCTGGTTCTAATATTGATTTTTTTAAGGATTGGATGGAGGAAAAATTTCCAAAAACAAATCAGAAAGTCATGTCCATCTGTGGGGATTTCAACATTGATTTGCTAAATCCAAACAAGCACAATAAGACAGATGATTTTATCAATACAGTGTATAGTCTGGGCTTTTCCCCCCAAATTACCAGACCCAGTAGGATTACTACCCATTGTGCAACTTTGATTGATAATATTTTTACAAATGACATAGATAATACAGTGAGTGGACTGTTAATTAATGACATCAGTGACCACTTACCAGTTTGTACAGTTTTCAATAGCAATTACACATCTAAAAAAGACAATAAACCTATATTTAGAAGGGTCAGAACAGAAGAGTCTATGGTTGCATTTAAAAATGATCTGTTTTCACAAGACTGGGAATTAATATATAAGGAAAAAGAGATGGATAAAGTATATGGTGAATTCCTAAGAATATTTCAATCATTATATGATAAGAATTGTCCGATAAAAAAATATGGTAGAAAACAGAAATATAGTGATAGACCGTGGATTTCAAAAGGATTACAAAATGCCTGTAAAAAGAAAAATACACTGTATAGAGAATTTATTAAACACCGAACTATAGAAGCTGAAAATAAATATAAGAAATATAAAAATAAGTTAATTATGATTATGAGAACTTGTAAGAAAGAATACTATAGTAAACTATTAGATAATAATAAAAATAATATGAAGGGTATATGGAATATACTGAACAGTATTATAAGAAGAGGCACGAAGCAGTCTAATTATCCCCAGTATTTCATTGATAATGAAAAAAAGATCAATAATATGGAGGAGGTGGTCAATAACTTTAATAAATATTTTGCAAATGTTGGACCAGATTTAGCTGGAAAAATTCCTCAGCCACAGATAAGCCATATCAGTTGTAATGATCTTATTGAAAGAAATCAATGTTCAATGTTTTTGAAAGCAGTAGAAGAAAAAGAAATCATAGACATTGTTAAAAAATGCAAAACTAAAGTATCCACTGATTGTAACGAAATAGATATGAAGATAGTAAAACATGTAATTGAGGGGATCGCCAAACCGTTAACTCACATTTTTAATTTGTCATTCCAGACTGGTCAATTTCCAACAAAAATGAAAATAGCAAAAGTCTTACCTCTGTACAAAACTGGAGATAAACACCACTTCACAAATTACAGGCCTGTCTCTTTACTGCCACAATTTTCGAAAATTTTAGAAAAACTTTTCAATGACAGATTGGATAATTTTATAGATAAACACAAACTGCTTACTGACAGCCAGTATGGATTCAGAAAAAATAGGTCAACATCTCTAGCTTTAACTGAACTCATTGAAGAAATTACAAATACCATTGACCAAAAAAAATTTGGAGTTGGGGTATTCATTGATTTGAAAAAAGCGTTTGATACAATTAATCATGAAATACTAATCAGTAAATTGGAACTGATTTGGGATCAGGGGGATAGTGCTGAATTGGTTAAGCAGTTATTTAAAAGACAGGAAACAATTTGTGAAGATGGGTGAATACACATCTGATTGTTTGGATATTGCGTGTGGGGTCCCCCAGGGGTCAGTGTTGGGACCTAAATTATTCATTCTCTACATTAACGATATATGTAAAATATCTGAATTACTCAAATTTGTATTATTTGCTGATGATACAAACATCCGGTCAGAATTTACAGCAACTCCTGGACTTAATCACTGCAGAATTCAGAAAAATTAAACTGTGGTTTGATACAAATAAATTATCATTAAATTTGAGTAAAACTAAATTCATGATATTTGGCAATTGTAAATTTAGTAATCAAGTTCAGTTACAGATCGATGGTGGTAACATAGAAAGAGTATATGAAATGAAATTTCTTGGAGTGATTATAGACGACAAGATTTGCTGGAAATCTCACATAAAACACATTCAAACAAAATTGTCAAGAAGTATTTCAGTACTGCCTAAAACTAAGTACATTCTGGATTACAGATCACTTCACATTTTGTATTGTTCACTGGTGTTACCGTATTTAAATTACTGTGTAGAGGTTTGGGGCAACACATATCAACATTCATTGCAATCGTTATTTATACTTCAAAAAAGAGCAATGAGAATAATTCATAACACTGGATATTTGGATCATACCAACTCATTATTTTTACAGTCAAAAGTATTAAAATTATTTGATTTAGTTGAATTTCAAACAGCGGTCATTATGTTCAAGGCTAGAAAAAATGTATTGCCTGGCAATGTACTGAAAAGGTTTTTTGAAAGAGAAGGAGGCTATAATTTAAGGGGAAAGTCGAATTTTAAAACTCCCACTTTTCAAACTACTAGGAAAAGCTTTTGTTTATCTGTTAGTGGTGTTAAATTATGGAACAAACTAAATAATGAATTAAAGCAATGTCCAAACTTATTCCATTTTAAAAAGATGTTCAAAGAAACTATATTCCAGAGGTATAGAGAAACTCAGTGCTAATAATAATCTGTGCTAGGCCTATATTGGTAGTATGTATAAATATTGTCGTGTTTGTGTACTACTATTAGTATGTAATTAGAACTTTTTGAATATATCTTCTCATTGATTATAGATTTATTATCTCCGCAGATTTATTATTTTGTAGTTATCTCGTTAAATATGGTAGTAATGATATAGGGGTAGGAGTATATAAGTTTTACTTCTTCCTACCTCCTTTTGTGCATGTAAATAGAAGTCTTTAAGTTTTTGAAAGTATGC